CACAAGTTCCTCATATTTTTCAGGGAATATGTTTAGCAAGAATTCTGAAAAAGAATGGTTTCTCTTTTTGTCCTGGAAGGTTGCAGGCCCCACAGTACAGGGCAGATTACTAATTACAGCAGAAAACACTAAAACACTAAAACTATTTGCAGCTTAAAAAACAAACAAGAAACAAACCCACATCCCCATATATCCTTTTCTGAGGTTGGAGAGAAGCTCCTGCCTGGCCAGCCTGCTGAGTTAAGAAATACACCACATCCCATTGCTGAAATGCTAATTAATTTTGCAACTAATGAGCTGGTGATAACTCCTTTCCCACACTGGAGATTTGAAGAAAGGCACAGCTTTGATGCACAGTGACACCTTCCCCAGTGGGCAGACAGGATATCCCCAAGGCCACATGCTCTTGTTTTGCTGGGCTGCTAGTTGAGGAAGTGTTTCACACCAAGATGAGTCTTTCCAAAGAATCACCTCTCCACAGAGACCTCTCAGGGTTCAAGGATCAGGAAGGGCTGGCAGTTCCCTACAGGATGAGGAGTCAAGGAAGATAATTCAGCAAGGCAGGGCTGGCTAGCCAGGGCCCCATCCCACAGGACATAAGTGAGACCAGCAGCCAAGTCAGGGGACGGCAGTCAGGGCTGACCCAGAGTTCAAGAGCATTTGTGGTGACAGGGCAGGTCAAGGCAGGAACTCAAAGTGCAGGTCAGTCAGCTCCAGTGACAGTAACCAGAGTCAGGCACAGTCTGGTGGTCACTAGGCAGGTCAGACATCAAACTGGGAAGTCAGTCCACAGATCAGGGTCCCAGTCTAAGGTCCACAGCCAGGCATGGGCATGGATGCACGGAGTGGGAGACAGGTACACCTACACCACAGCTCAGGGAGCAATGGAAAGTCATGGACTGAGTTTAAATGGAGCCCCTGAGCCCCTGGACAGGAGAGTGAGTGGAGGCCCCATGACAGGCTCATCAGGGTAATTACACTCAGGGCACTGACACTTCATCTCTGCAGCCCAGGCCAGAGTCATGGCCAGCCAGCAAAGGAGATGCCCACAGATCCCATGCCATCTAAGTACAAATGTTCATACCTGGGAGCCCAGAGATTACAGATGGATTTTGCCACTGTTCCTTTTACTCTTCACAATAGGCATAAAGGTACCTTGTCCCCTCCCTAGGAAATAAGAGGGATGACATTTTATATTACAGAGCAGCCTGTGTCTTAGGCATCCAAAGGTGAAGCAATAACCAGGAACTGCTTTTCCTCCCCACATGCTGATGTGCCTCAGGGCAGGGAAAAGCAGCTGCAGGAGCAGCAGGGCACCTCCCAGAGCATCAGCACAGCAGCACAGAGGCAAAGACAAACAAAGATGCAGGAAGTGATTATACCTTCTCACAACAGAGCTGCAGAGCTGAGTAAGCACTTGGTTATTTGAGTTTGTCGATAAGTGTGGGGCTTTCATTGGATACAAACAACCTAAACCCAACAACACAACTGGTGGCAGTTGTTCCTATCAGCAAGGGAAGTTAAATAACCTCCTCCAGTGGATACTGCCAAAGCAGAACATGTGGGATAAGAGAGACAGTAGCATTAGAGAGGCTGGAAATTGGCCAAGACAACTTGTGCATATAGAGAGGCTCCCTCATAACTCAGGAGTTGTGCAGTGTTTCAGGAGCATCATGGAATGCTCCTTTCTGGGTGACATTTAACTCAGCCTTCAGATCCCAGGCAAGAATGCACTCTGCAGTAACTGGTGATGTCCAGTAATCAAAACCAGTGAAAGCTTTCCATTCTGTTGCTGAGCTGTATCCCTGCCACAGTACTCTCTGACCCTGGGTCAGAACATACAAGCTTACAATCAGAAAGATTTAATGAAAAGCATGCAACAGCCAGAGATCCTGCTGCCAGGGAAGCAGGGGAAGAGAGAGAGAGGAAAAATATATCTAATGGCTTATAAAGAAAAAAGCACGTGCACTTCCCAGCAGAGGATACAGTCTTTTAAGCCATCCCACTTGGGGGAGCTTCCCCTAACTCTCTTCCTTGAAGGCAAAAGATAAACAGATCATGGGGCCAGTATAAGGGCTGTGCAGCTGCACAAGTCTCTTGGAAGGTCCCTTTTGTATTGCCTTGGCCTGTTCTTCAAGCTCAGAGGGAAGGTTAAGTTGAAGTCACCTGCTCTCTGATCCCCTGTGTACGCAGATCCGGCAGCGAAAGCACACTCGAGCCATCGCAAAGGGAGGGGCAGGTTCTGCCAGGTACAGGATTTATGAAGTTAGTCTTTTTGAAGTGAAAAATAAAGGAAAAACTCCTGCAGTTTTACTTTCAGAAAAACAGTTCTGGGAATACGCACTTCCCTGACACAAGTTCCATTTAGAGATGACATTAAGCAGTGCTCAAAAACCCCTCCGAGGAGTTCTAAGACCTGCTGACACCAATATGAGGAAAGTAGAGAGTCTGGCTTCCCATTCTGAGAAAACCAACAGTCAGCATTGCTCCTCTGGGTTGGTTGTGCTCAAGAGGAAAGAGGGCAATGAAACATGCCCACACCTTCCAGCAGAGAGCTTCTTTTTCATCACCAGTTCCCACCTCAGCCCAGTCCAGCTCTTGCCCAGCTCTCTCCATCTACCTATCAGTTTGTAGGCAGCTGAAACTTCTCAAGAAAATACAATTTGTCAAACATTACGCTTCCAAATTCCCACTGTAGTGCCTTTCCCTTTGTCTTATGGCCCCTCTTGTGCATGGTAGCCTCACTCCTCCCCAGAAGTCCTCATTTCTTAGAGGATACTTCCCTGAGCAAGCTGAGACCTCCCCATTTACTGCTTATATGGTCAGTGAGGGCACTAAGCAAATAATCTGAGACTGCAAACAATTTAGGGTTTATCAGGAGATCAGTCATCCTTGGGATGTTCTAGAAAGCTCTGTTTTTGCTGATGCATCTTTTGTGGGACTAAAAAAATTAACAATGTTTGCTCCAGGCTTAAGTATCTCAGAAAGGCTGCATCAACCATATGAGTCCACACCAAGGATCCACCTAGCCCACCCTGTCTCCAACATAAACTATGAGTTGACACCTAGGAAAGAGGAAGAACAGCACAAAAACATGTGGTACTTCCTTTCTCAGAGCCAAGTTATTTACTTAGCCTTCAACCATTTTCAGCTGACAAGACCTTTTCTGGCCTTAGAGGGTTTGTCTATTTAGTGGTCCCTAATAAATTTTGCTTTCAAATACCACTATCTTCCTTTGAACACAAGAATACACCTTGCACCCACAACACCCTTTGATGAAAAATTCTCCAGGTCTAAAACCTGGTACCTCCAGAACCAGCTCCCTTCATTATTTGACATCTGACCCCACTGTCCACATTTGCTGGCCTCCAGTCCCTGCATGGAAAAAGGTGGTAACAGCCAGTCCCTATCCATTCACTTCATGCAGCTCCAGATTTTGTAGGTTTCTGTCACATTCTCCCCCAAATAACTTATTTTCCAGGCTGAAGTGTCCCAGACTGCTCCACTGCTTCTTTTGTGGGAGCTTCCACATCTGAACTCAGAAGGTCATACACAGCAGAATGGGATGGGGTTTGGTGCTTTCCCACTTTTGGGGTGGGAAGACATTATATTCCACCCCTCTGACTGGGCTCTGTTCTTCAGAAGGGAATTTGACTTGAACTTTCACAAGGCTTTTACAAAAGGAAAGAAAACACACACAAACATTCCTCTTTTACAATCACTTTTCCTTCATTTGAAATCCAAGGGAACACTTCGAAAGCAAAACTACTGCTCTTCTAAAACCACAAGGTCCCCTTCTCAGAAGGACCAAACAAAAAGTTATGACTCAGACACGGGGCTTTAAATTCCTCATCCTATTATCCAAACCTTTGACTTCCAACATTTCTCCATTTCTCTGAGGGTATCATAGGTCAACCTGATCTCACAATCTGTTGGATTGATCTTGGAGACCCACAGCACTTCTCGAATACCATTTGGTCAACTCAACAGCACGTAGAAGCAGCACTACATAGCTGCACGTTGAGATGCATTTTATCACCCCCTAGTCAGCCTGGAGGAATTCACTGGCTGTCCAGAGGATCAACACATCCATAGTGCTGTGATGCTTTGATATTAGATTACAACACTGAGGGCTTTTAAAATTACTATTTTTATATTTCTAGATTTTAAGAAGGCAGTAGGAATATTCATATTGGTCTCCTGCATAAAAATGTTCTTGGATTTCATCTGATGTCCCAGATTTCTTATGGCTGAGATAGCAAGACATAGTTTCTTCAGAGGTTTCAAGTGATAGAACCACAACTGCATCCCTTGGTAATTGGTGCCACAAGTTATTCAACTGTTGCTGATCAGTCACTGTTAAAACCATGTACCTTATTTTTCTAGCTTACATTTATCTAACTTTAATTTCTAGCTGCTGGCTCACATTGTGCTTTCATCTGTTTTTCATCCACACACAGGCATCACTTTTTCCAGTGAAATTCACCCCTGCCTTTTAGGCTGACACAGCAAATGACATTCAACAGTTTTGGCCAGGAAGGAAAGTATCCTGCATCCTGCTGCATGTGTAAGGGTGCCACTGAATTCAGACAATCAAGTCTAAAAGCAACATCTGCTTTGTAATTAAGGCTTGCTTAGAGCTATAAGACCTCCTCTCAGGATAAGCAACATCCCCCCAGCACCCTGTTTTCGGAGCTTTCTGAAAGGGTGGCCTGAAGCAGCCACTCAGCAAGGCTGGCAGCAGTTGACTACTTTTAGCATTGCTGTTGAATTACTGCCATCATCAACCAAAGTTATGAATTGAAGGCAGTCCAATAAAAGACAGCAAGTGCCACCAAAGTTGCAGAGAAAGTTTTGTAACCCTTCCCCAAGGGGAAACATATGTAGGCAGGGGTGAGCACACGTTCCCCCCAGCAGCTCTGCACTAGGTGGCTGTGCTGCCACCCATGACCCTGCCCCTGCTGCTGTGCTTGAGAAACAACAGCACATTTACCCCTTACCTAAGAATCTGGGCCAAGCTTGAGGCTGGCTTCTCCAGCTGAAAGGTCTCTTGTCCCATGACACAGGCTTTCTGGAGGCTGATGCAGGGCCCAACAGAGCCAGCTGGGACCAAACTGCAAACAGAGAATTTTGAGAATGTAAGTTAGAGTCCCATGGGCCTGGCAAGGGGCTAAAGAGGCAGAAAAGGAGAATCCAGCTCTCCCTGTGAGCTGTGGTACCACTGTCCATCTCCAGGACAGTGATGCTGTTCTCAATCACAGCAGGAAAACATATTTGTAACAGCAGCACCATGAACAGTCTGTCCCCCCCCAATGACACAATGAAGGAGGCATCTGGTGCAGCCAAGCAGCACCAACTGGCATTATCTTAACACTGTGGGCTGTAAATTGTGCCAGAGCTGCTTGTGTTGGATAACCCTGGCCAGAAGGTCCCTGCAGCTCCATACCAGCTCCCTGAAGCAGCAGCTCTGAGCAGATCCTTAGACACCAGCAGTGAATTGCCACAGTCTTAGAAAAACAGCTGCCAGGCTTTCCTCTCCCAATCTCATGGCCTCGACAGAAGCCATGTGGGTAAGATGAGGCTTGGCAAAAAGGGCATGTCTGAGTGTTAAGATTAGGAATTTCCCCACTCCAGGCCAGTGGAGGAACAAAGAACAAAGGGGAACCAGCCCCTCACATTTAACTGGGTTGTTGATAGAACAAATCTATTTTCCTTCTGTCTGTTGTCAAGATCTGGAGGATTTTTTTTCCATAAGAAAACTGACAGTGGGATATGTACATGAGATACAGGGAGCAGATCACTCCCTTGCTGTGCCAATTAGTCTCTCCCAAATGACACTCCCTCTTATTAATTCCAGGTACTTCTCAGTGTAGGAGAGGTTCCAGACAGGACTGATGCTTGGACAGCTGGGACTCGTCCCTGCAGCCCAGAGCCAGGACAAAGCCAGTCCTCCAGGTAGACTGTGCGTCACAGCCTAGGAAAATTCCTGCTTTCTCTTGTGCCTGAGGCATGTGCACACACACACACACACACACACACACACACACACACACACACACACGTCCCAGATCCAGCTGCAAAGCAAACCTGCTCTAGTTTGGGTTTGGAATTAGCAGGCACAGGAAAAAGGCTGAAATCTGACTCCAAACCTCCATTATTGATTCGGCCCAAGTCTTCCCCTTTCCATGCCTTGAAACCTTTTCTCCCCCCTTATCCACATGCAGCCCCCTCAGCCACGGGATCACCAAGCAGTATTCACCAACTAATCTAAATAAGCACCCTGTGTTTCCCAGCCTACCAGGATGGAAAACCTGTCTGACAGCCCAAGTTCCTGCAGGAAACATGATGAGGTGCTAAGAAAATAATTGTGCTTACATATTCTTTGGGCTGAAACAGCTGCTTTTGTAGCTGGATGGGTTTTTGGCTGGCAGTCTGCTCTCCCTACAAGTTGTCTCTACAAGACACTCCATTTACTTCCTGTTCCCTAGCAAGTCCCTGCAGGAGAGCAAAGAAACCGGGATTACACATATACAGCAGAGCCCAGCCAAGACACACAATCCGAATTCCCAGACAAAGTACAAGACAAATACAAGCATCACAGAGGAACAAATATAATATGGGCTTAAGTCTTGCATGAGCCATCTGTAAATGTGATCTAACAGCAAGGCTGCACCTTCCAGCCTGGCAAATTCCATAAATGCAAGGTCTGCAACACATCAGATCTCAGGGAGAGAGACAGGAGGCATCAGGGATTTAGGAAGAGGCTTTAGAGTTTCAACATCACCTTGAATGACGCAGAACCACTCACTCGAATGGTGGTTGGTGCACGGATATAAAATGAATGGGTTCTCTGAGTCCCAACCCAGTTCTGCACAACTGGAGCTACAGGGCTCCAGGTTTTTTGTTGGGAAGGGAGGAAATTAAAAGAAAACTGTCTGAGCTGTCCTCTCTCTGTATGTCTGAGACAGGCATGCAGTGCCCCTAACACCATCAGAGCACTTGATGTCTGAGTGATGCTATCAGGGTATCTCCAGCTGTACTACCTGCCACAAGTGAGCCAATAGCAGGTTAAAGAAGGAATAAAGGAATGAAGCAACACTGCCCAGCCATGGCCAGATGGCCGATCTTCCATTCTTAGTTTTCCCAAGATATTTCTCCGGGCTCCCAACACAATACTCCAAACAATAAATTTCCTTCATAAGATTAACAAATCTAAAGGCTGACTTCCACCCATGCAGGATTTAACATAATACTAGTAAAACACCCAGAGTGAAAACTTTGATTATTTAAGTAGAACCTGGTCTTCACAGTTTCCTCCTCTGCTCAGAAGGAGCCTGAGACCTCAGTTACCAAGCAGACACAGCATGTCCCACTCACCAGAGGGGAAATCCCGACGAATCTGACCGCATTGTCAGCCCAGCAGGAAGCATAAATCTCACAGGAAAGGCTATTCTAGTGATGTTTCCAGGATAGTTTTGCAGATCAGAGACACTTTGGATCAAAGCCAAGGCAGAGCTGGCCAGCACCTCCAAGGTGGTGGCTAAGTGGAAAATCTCCACAGGGGTAGAAAAAATAGAGGTAGGCACTTTTTCTGAAGTTCCAATTATTCATGAAAGCAATGTGAAGTTTTTCTCTCTCCCTAAAATGTTGCATTTCTTTTGGCAGCGGGGAAAAAGAACTCTCTCCCCATCACACAGGCATATTTCCCTACTAATGAAGTGAAAGAGTTTACAAAAACTGAAAAGGAAAAAAATATTCTGCCACAACAGTCATGATTATAACAAGTATTTTTAGTATTTGCCATGAATAGGGAATATCCAACCAACTCCACACAGTTGACACTTCTTCAGGAAACAACCGTCAGTACCACAAGGACATTTTCTGTCCTGTTGGCAGGGGGGCAGTGAGCTGCAGACAGCAGCTCAACCAACTCTATTCAAGTGCTTTGCTGAGCTGGTGTCTAAGCAAGGAAATGCTAAGGGAAGCCTGGAGCCAGAGCATTTCCCATGAGACAGTGAATCAAGACCTTCCTCCCTCCTGTGAGTCAGTGTCACAGGAGGCAAACTGCAGACGACTTGTGGCTGGCTGAAGCTGCAGCTATGGCACTGTGAGCCTGGCTCCTCCGGATGCCTGCACGGAGACGGAAGGGAAGCAGGACAGGAGACCTGCTGGGGAGGCCCCATGTTGCAGCTGCTTCTGTTTCAAAGCCTGGCTGGCATCAGCTGTGCTGAGGAGATATCAGAGGGGTAGCAGGCACCTCTGGCCCGTGCTTCATGCACAAAAGCAGAAGAGAACAAGAAAGAACAAATCAAAAGACTCAGAGCAAAGAGCGAGCTAAGGGCTGGGAAGAGAAACACATTCTGGGTCACAAAGAACGAGGAAAGCACACAAAAACTATCCAATTACCCGCTGCAGAGAAGATGGCAGGATCACCTCATTTCTTACAATGCACAGATTCCTTGAGAAAATGCAGCTTTGTTGCCACTCCATCCTGCTTCAGAGGCTTTCTTTTATGCCCGTGGCTCTCCTTAGCCTCCTGACTCTGATTCTCTCCACCTGGGTCTCTGCTGTCCACGAGCAAAGGAGGGACACTACTGGAGAGCGAAACAGCTTGTGTGCTTCTGAGAAGCCTACATTCCTCTCTAGTCACTAAAACACCACAAACCAACAAGAAATGGTGATTTCATGACAGAAAACAAGAGCGGGGAAAAAGGAAGATGATTTATAAAGCCAGCCAAGTATTAGAAAGTAAAGTTGTTGCATTCACATATAACACAAAGCCTCTGGTTCTGCGTGACCACATCAGAGCCTGCAAGGATTACTAACAGCCTCTGCATGGGTTTTCTGCCCACACCCCTTCACCAAAGGGTACCCACAGCTAAGAGAACACGTGTCTCCCTCTTGCTTACTTATTTGGAGCTCCTGTTTGGAAATTCAAACTCGGAATACTGAGAGAGGCTATTTCCAAATACTTCTTAGGTGGTTATTCACACACCTGCAATACTCCGTAAGCATTTGTCATTGCTGGTTATCTTAGCAAGCACTGTTTGCAAAGCAGAGGTGAAGGAATGGTGCAAGGACAAGCTGTTCACATCCTACCTTAAAACAGGCCCCACTGTTGTGTAGCATGGCTGAAGCACATAGACAACCTCTTCCTAAAGGGTTCCAGGGACAGATACTACAAGCCCCCCAAGCAATCTACCCATCCCTTCCTAATCCTTAACTACCTAAGAAAGCCTTCCCCTTCCAAAGTTTCATGCTGTATCAGCCATAACACCCTGCCTAAAAGCAGGGAAATGTGATGAAACATCAGAAAGAAACAAATGTGTGCAAGGAAACCCTGCAATTTCAATCCATCTCACACAGTCAGACAGAAGAATAGGAGGTGAAACCCCAGCTCTGGTGAGAACTGCAGGAGTCTGGCAAACTATTCAAGAGCTGCTTCAGGTACTGTGCTGAGGAGGTGCTGCAATCTCCACCCCGGGATGGAGAGAGTACAAACTGAATTAAAAAAACCCATGGAAAATAAAACCATAAAGGACTGTAAGTTAAGTCTTCATCAGTTCCCACTGCAGGGCCAACTTCTGTGAATAGCCCACATAAACACCCTCGAGACACTCCTTGTTTTCCTCTTTCCCTTCAGGAGTTCCCCCCTACCTGTGAGCTACCCACTTGCTTGTGTGCTTACACATAGACAGTTTCATCAGTGACAAACAGCAGTGCATGGATTGCACTCAAAAGCATGGTCTCTACTTCTTCAGTCCCCAGGGAGGCTCCTGTAAATTGGACCCACCAGTGAAGGGAAGAAAAGCCACCAGGACTGAGTAAACCGGAGTGACTTAATCTAACAGCTGTTGGAAGGGCCAGTCTGGATTGCACTGTGACTCTGTAGGCTCATGTCTCCAGCACTGGAGGTGCCTCCATGAGCCAATTCAATTCACTGAACTGACAGAAAACTAACAGTACAAAAAACCACTGCAGCAGTGATGGGCTCAGCCATCTTCCCTGGCTGCATCCACCTAGTGCATGTGAAACTACAGCAATGATGTGTCCAAACCAGGGATTTTGAGCTGAAGGAGCAAGTTTTGTGCACACTTAACTGACTTTGCTGGGCCCATGAACCACTTTTCCCAACTTTCCCCTTATCCATCCTAATATCTTTTGTGATTTAGAACAATCTCTCTCTCTGTGCATGCATAGTACAAGAGGCTCCCATCTCTGATGGGAGGGCTCCACACACCACAACAAATATCAGCAGCAAAGCCCCATCTCTTTGTAAGAGTGGTCACTCCTACCTCACTGCTGGAAGGGGACATTTTCTTCCTCACACAGGAGATAAGCAACAGGATCTGTGCAAGTCACGTTCCCTGCAAGGCAAAGCAGCAGCAGGTAAGGTCAGTGGACACTCCTTACAAGGAAGTGTAACATTCCCTCGCTCACACACCGGGAACAACCGTAGCCACCCTAAAGGGTGGGGGAGAGATAGTGCTGTGAGGCAGCACAAGGAGGTAACGGAGAAAACCAAGAAATACGTGGATTCATTCACAAACCAGACTCAAAAGGACAGAGGGTAGGTGTTTCTACTGACACACCTGCAAAGGCAACTGAAAGAAGTGACAGAAAGCTGCAGCAGACATCAATCCCTGCTCCCACCAAGTCCTCCCAAAAACTTGCACTGAGAGATAGAAGTCACACCTCTTGGGTCCCAAAGCAGTATTGATCCATTAGGCTCTACTGTCTCTGGCCTGTGGATGAAAAGCATTTCTGGGTAAAAACAAGGACACTGCTAAGTCTTCCTTACAGTTTCAAGTTAAAATGAGGAAGGCAGCCCAAGGTCCTTGTCACAGCTGCCAGTCACTACAGTATTACATCAGCCACAATGCTATAATTCCAAAGACAGGCTATCATGAAAGTTAAATAAGGAGGCTGAATCAAACCTGTGATACTCCCAAAAGATAACCTGAAGTTTAATTAAAAAAAAAAAAAAAAGGAAAAACAAACAAAAAACCCCAAATAAGTGCTCTACTCCTTTCTGTAGTTACTTTTAATCTAGGGTGGACTATGTCGTCCTGGAACTGAGTCAAATGAAAAGGAGACATTCAAAGCACTTTACTCTCCCTCTGCTGCCCCTCTGCTCTGTGTCAGTCATCACTTCAGGGTTTGTAAATGCTTAGTGGGATTTGCACAGGGCCAGGCAAGTCAGGCTCTTCCATTTACTGCCATACAACAAATATATTCCGGTAAATGGCTGTTCTCCTGCCAATGCCTTCTGTTTTCCAACTCATTACATTTTCTTTAGAGACTTTCTTTCAGACAAGTGGATAACCAGAGCCTTGGGTTGACTCCATACGTGGATCCTGCCTCTCAGCAGTGCCAGTTAATTCTTTGCAGAACTCCTGCTCACGTAGGAAGCAGGTACAAAATCTCTCCCCCCCACGCCGGACCCAGTTTATTTGCTCCTGTTTCCGCTCCCTCTTCACCGTCAGTCAGCCCACAAAGCACTGACTGCTTCTCTGCCCGAGGCTCTCCCCAGCTGCCTCCCTGCCGGGCTTTCCCAAGCCAATAGCCAAGGAAACCTGTCCACACCCTAGGCAGGCTGGGGCTGTGCCGTTGTTTTGGGCAGTGACGTGTGCTCGGGGTGGAGGTCACCATTGTTTCAGCTCCCTGATTCCACAAAGGAGTGTGAATAATTTCTTACAGCTGCAGTAAATGAAGAGTGGCAGCTACACCCAACCCACAACATTATACACCATTGGTTTTCCTCTTACCTGCCAAAAAGAGCATTTCTTCCTTTTACCATGGGAAGGTGCCTGGGTTGCAGTGTCACCTAGGCATAAGCCACTACCTTCAGTGGGATTGCTCTCAAACATGGGGACTATACTGTTGCACAGACAGGGTCACCTTGCCCTGAGCCTAAGAACTCCTGGGGCTGTTTGGATCAGAAATCAGAGCCGGACTCCCTCTCTCACACATCATCACGTCTCCCTTCATAAGGAAGGGATACAGTGGATAATGCAGCTGCCATCTGTGGTGCTCAAACAAAGCAGTTTGACAGCACTAACAGAAAAATACAACTGTGCTGTGGAAAGCAGATGCATTTTCACAGAAATGAAGTACCTCTCACTGAGCCCATGAAAAGTATTTCTTGCAGAGAAGTTGCACAAGAGTCAGTCTGAAATTCTCTAATTTGTCTCAAGAGGTATCCAGCTCTTAAGGTGCTCTCTGAGTTGAGGAGTGCAATCACACACCAACCTTTGGCTTCTTTGAGCACCACGTAAAGAAGAAAAAACAGTAGGAAACATCCCCCATTCCCCTTCCCCCCTCGTGTAGCATGAAGGTTATGTACAAGAACTAAAACATTACAGCCAGAAGCCTTATTTTGCAGAAGATAATCTCATTTTTCATATTCAGTGTAACATTAAACCCATCCTCCCAAAACTGAGCTGTGCCAAGGCTTGTGAGCTTAGAGTGAAATTATCACCAACAGAAAAGTTTCACTGCCCCAGCAAAAAATGAGGAGCAGTGGAAAACACAAACAAAATGACACAAGTGGTGAAAAGTAAAAGGAGGTGGTTTAGACACATCCCATCTCGATATGCAATGTTTCAGCAACCAGAGTGAGGAAATGGGTTTTCCTTTTAAGCAAGGGTGGGCCAGATCCTCGGCTAGAATAAATTTGGTGCTGCCCTGCTGAAATCAGTGGATTGTTGCTCATTCACAGCAGCTCAGGGTCTGGGACGTGGTTTTATCCTGACAGTATCACAGTAATGTAATTCTAAATTAAAATCATGTGGAGATGCTGTTTTGATACAATATTGTTAAATACTAAATATACCAACTGAACTGAACTAAAATGAACTTAAAATGGGAGGGAGTAAAAGGAACACCTCTCTATTGCAATGTGGATTCAGAGGCTAGAAAGAATTGCAGAACAATTTGATGAAATCCCTTGAAGCATTCTCATTGACTAGTTAGTCTCTTCATTCTGGAAGGTTTCAGGATTTAACATATTTCCTCATGCTCACTAAGAGCTCACTGTAACTCCTGCAGCCAAAAGCACCAGGGATGCCAAGCACAGCTACACGAACTGGCAGAGAAGTGACTGTAATGGTGATCCTCTCACTAGCCCCCAATGGCACAGGTGGCCAAGAGGGGCCTGCCAGGCTTGAAGCTGGTGAGTCCTGCACAGCATCCCACTGCCAGCTCAACTGCTGCAACCAGCTGAGAGAAACTAAAGGATATTCTTCAGCTGCAGAGACAGAAACAGCACCCTGGGAACCCCTTGAGCATCACAGCAACCAGGCAGGGGAGACATTGCAACCACTTGTGCAACTCTGTCTCACTTAGTCACACTTAGGTGGATGTGAGCAGAATTACTGCAGCCATGCTCCAAGTAGGGAGTGATAGATTTCTCACAGAGCTCCCCCAGGCACCCTCCTCCCAGTTGCTGCTCTCCCTCCTAGGTCTGTCCTCCCCACCACGGCAGTGACCTTCTGATCCGCCTTGCCCTGCCTGGCCAAACCCCAATTCCCCCTGGTCCCAAGCAGCCAGGCCTCTCATCCTCTTTTGGGATCAGCCAGGACGATACTAATTCCCTGCTGAAGTGGGTGGCAGTCTTTATTATGTTTCAGGCCTGAGAAATCTCACCAGTGCACCAAGAACCACAGGGCTCCTTCCTAATTACACAGCAGAGCACTGCATGATTCATGTCAGCAGCTCCCCGGCCCCCTCACCTCCGTCCTTGCCGTGTGTGACACAACAAATCCGAGTGGAAGTGATTAGCAGGTTGCAACCACAGCCTCCTGCTCCCCAGCACCATTAACAAACCGGGCGCCAGGAGCGCGCCGGCGGCCGCAGCAGCCGGAGCCTGTTGGATCACGCTGCTCCTCAGCATTGCAACATCGGAAGTTGCACTTTAAAACCCATCGCCTGGGTTGCTCTCGGATTTCCCAATGAAGGCTGGAGGAGGAGGATGGAGAACCCAGGCTGACAACATTAATATATGCATTTTTAAATTCCCAGGGGAGGTTCAAAAATTAGAACTTGCTCTGGGGCCCCTTCTGTTTTTGTTTTTCCCTTCCCTCCTCTCTTTCCTTTTGGTCTGATTAACTTTGGTGACTGGCTTGCACAATTTTATCAGGTTGGGCCTGATGAATCATTCATCTCCAGCAAGCAACAGTGAGAGATTGCAGGCCAGGCAGGATCTGTGTTGCAGTAACCAAAAACAGCAAAAAACCACTCCCACCAAGAGAGGGAATGGGGACAGGGAAAAAAAGAGACAGTGGGCCAAGAGCACTCATGGACAGCTTTCCGATGTCTGGTCTCAGACAACTAGCAGCACATTCATTTGTAAGGCTGCCAGACCTCCTAGGAAACTAAAAGGCTGCTGTTATTTATAAAGCTAGATGTAGCTGTTCTGCCTGTGTGCAAGACTGGTTCATTATATTTATAGGTACCTGTCCCATTCACCTACTTCTGGGCCCTCGTTCCCATAAATCTACAAGGCTGGCAAGGATCTGCCTTCAAACTCTGAGATACCTCTCCTTTCTGAGCAGGGCCATTTGGAAGTGTCTGTCACCACTGCAGGGCTCAGCAGCATGTACACATAAATATGTACCTGAAAGCCCCACATTTCTGTCAATGTACAGAAAGACAGATTCAAGGATTTGTCTTCCACCTGGAGAGCACCAGATTTTGCATTTCATTTGTAAAAAGCTCCCAGTAAATCTTAACCACAAAAGTTTGATTTAACGATGGTTTAAAACTGTCAGCTGGCTTCAGTAGAGAAGATATACAAGTCAGTGCCATCAATTCTGGCAGCCTGGAATCCAAGCCCCCCTCAACAAAAATAAAATCAGCCCTCCTAGATTTTATGCCTGAACCTCAAACAGTCTGTGCATAAATCAAACTCAGAGTTTGCCTGATCAGGCATGGAGAGCTTTGCAAAGAGAGCCCTTTAGTGAAGTTGGGGATGTGGGCAAGCAAAGGCAGCTCCCTACAAATTGCACTGGGGACAGGAAATGCAAGAGATTTGGCCTTTCCAGTTTGTGGGTATTCACACACAAACACAAGAGAACTTTTCTATTTTGAAGGTGAAAGACTTATTTCTCAAAAACAACAAAGAGAAAAAAAGTGTGTTACATCTCACTGTTTGAGATCAGCTGGGCTCACTCCTGCCAACCAGAAGCCTTGCCTGAATGTAGATACAGATTCTGAGGCAAACTGCTGCTTCCAGTTGCCTATATGTTCACAAACTTTCAAGCAGGACCAGTCCCAGATTTCTTAGGTGCTTCAATTTGTGCCATCATTTTGGGCTAGAAATGACTAAATCAGATCTAAAACCTCATGTAGTTGTCCAGGCCTGGCTCCCTCAAGCAGCCACACTACCATGGCAAGAAGCATTTTGGCTCCCTGCAAGTTGCAACAGTGGGCAGGTGTTGAGAGGAGCCTCAAAGAGCCCCTTCAGAGGTAGAAACTTTCATAATCCAAGAGCAGATACCATTTTCCCTGCTTAATCTCTTGGAAGTCATCTCTCTCTCAGTCATGAATTAAAAGTCATCCAGAGAAAAATATTTGCCCTTGTGCAATGTGTTTCAAGGACTAATTATTTAACATTTGATGTGGCATAAATTTGAACCCTTTAAAAAAAACAAAACAAAACAAAAACAGCAAAAATCCAAGAAAAAAGGACAAAGAAAGGTGCTCCCATAGCTGAGAGCATACCCAACCCCACTTGTCTATCCAAGAAAAGCCAACAGTTGAAAACTGACAGGGAAAGAGGCTGAGATCTGTGAGGCTGGATCTGGAGTTGGAATTTTTACAGCTTAGTTTGAGTGTGTGATCCAAGGTTGTACTGGAGTGAGCAGGTGTCTCTCCCTGTAGAAGAGGTAGCCACAAAAATTGCAACCAAAATTTACATTTCTCTATTAAAAGTCACCATATACATAATTTACTAATAATCATCTCAAAAGACTCCCAACCAGTTCTACTAGGAACCCAAACAATACAGCTTTGGGTTAAGGGTGTGAGAGAGATGAAGCAAAGCTGACTCAAGTAAAGCTGAGTGAAATACAATAAATACAGAGCAGACCTGATTTTTCCCTTGGTGCTGCACACAATATTTGCAGGCAATTACACTGGCTGCAGCAGTTTAACACGCAGGAGAATATCGAGATCCTTTGTGCATTATTTACACATCTAGTTATGAAAGTTCAGGCCATAAACTGAAAAAGAAACTGGATTTTTAAAATAAATTTGTGCCTTAAGGTGCCCATTTCAGGAGCAAATGGAAATGAATAAATATATCAAGGCTCTTTTCTCTATGGACTTCCATCTCAGATGGTCATTTGCACCTCTGCTAGGATTAAGAGCAGCTCACAGTTTCCCCCTGTATGATCATCATAGATTTTACTTAATCACTTCTACCTTTTAATCCATAACCATGGATGATTTATGGCATGTTCTTTAAAAACCTTGCAGTCTCACTGTAAGGCAGTGAGGAATCCATGTTCTCTGGTAGGGTAAGGCAACAAACAGATGACCTCAGAGGAATGAAATGCCACCATGTGTCCTAGGAAAATGGGAAGACAACAGCCCCTCTAGGAAAGGATGAAGAAAATAATCCATGCAAAGGTTATTTTGTTAACCAAACCTGACCATCTCTCAGGTGCCTTAGAAGATACCTGGGGACTTCTCTGGCAAAAGACATGTAGGACTCAGCTGACTGGTAACAAGATGGGTACTGTGCACTTAGAGCCCAGAGCTCAGATTGCAGTGAGGTAAATTAAACAGTGACCTACAGCCACCATTACCCGAAAGCTGATCAGTAACTAGGGTCGGTTCCAAGACAGCCTCATCACTCACTGTCTCCAAAGCAAGCACAGACTTCAGGAGAATCCTCTTTCAAGGGGAAATCACCTTTTCTTCCCACTACCCCCATCCTGGAAGGAACACTAAACAGCCTCTGGAGTCTGCTAATGTTGATGTAGGAGGGATGGCTTTGCAGGAGGACTACTTTTACGATCACCAGGACACCTTATTTTTCAGTTCTGATGTGCCACAAGAAGAGAAACCTCAAAAAGAAAGAAAGAAAGAACAAGAAAGAAAAAAGGAAAAGGAAGGGCTGGAAAGAAGTCTACTCCCAAAGTTCTGACCAACACTGAGAGCTGATAAAGGTAAATCTAAAACACCACAAACCCTTCCATTTTTAGAGTCTGGGGAAGAGACAAAAGAATTTCTCTGTCAGGGTCTCAGCAACAGAGCTGAGCAATGGATGACAGAGAGCAGCTTTCCAAGCCATTTGGGGAACATCCCACAGAGTCTGAAAGCAGCATTTACAATGCTGTTTTGCAACTGGGAGAAGAATCACAGTATGATCCAGCAATCAAGGAAAGCAGTCAGATTCATGCAATATTTTTTAACCCATAATAAATTATAGTTTCCTAAACTTTATTGCGGTCACAGAGTCAGAACAAAAATTGATAAAAAATACAGTTATTGTGCTCAGAAAATTTTGAAAAATGTCACTAAATACTCAGGGGGAAAACAGTGAGTGCCATTTTAATGAAAACCAAGCTTACGGATTGCTGGTTTCTGAAAGCAGTCTGGTAAATGGTTTTGTTTTCCAATAAGCAAAACAAATACTGGAACAGACCCATAGTCCTTTCTCTTCTCTTGCTCCAAACCTCCCCATTTTTCAAAGCAGAATAAAGGATGACTCTCCTCCGATTTTAAAACCAGTAAATGGTTCCCAAATGTACTGGGAGCCAGAAGGGAGTTAGGGCAGCAGAGGAAGGTCAGGAGACCCTGATGTACACTGGAGACTGCAATGAATGGACAACAAAAAGCAAAACCTGCTCCCAACAAACTAGATTGAGAAAGTGCCTGAAGATGGGGCTTATCATGCCACAACTTGAAACTCCCCAAGCAACGCACACACCCATGTCTCTAATGAAAGCAATGAGACGGGAAGGAAGCACAGCTGGGGTTTGGCGCTGCTCAAGCCCCATGCAATTACAGGCAAGAGTAAACATCTTATTCAAGGATGAGCAATTGTCCCTCAAGGGAAAACCCTGGGGCTTCCAGCCCTCCCAGGAAGGTCACAAATGGCTACAGGAAACAAGCGGAGACTTGCACAAAGGGAATGAGCTAAACCTCACTGCCCGTGAGTAAGGAACTGAACAGACAGGTCCATGTGCTCCAGCACTGGGCACAGATTTCAGAACAAACACACGGGAAGATGTGGCGTCACTGAACCCTTTATTTCTGAAGCTCCACAGGTATTATTTAATCTTCCTTCCCAATACAGCAATTGCTATAAAATCTCCAGTTTGGCAAGAGTACCTAATTTAGTGCTTCTGACAGAAGTCTTTCCTCCGTGGCAGGAAGAGGGGCTATTGTGAGGTTGGTAGCAGATCTTTTCCTTATGGAGGCAGGGGATCCTCAAATTGTACCTAACTCTGGTCAACCCTCCCTTAACACATATACATGCCCATTACACAAACTTCATCATCTCCCAAACAAGCCAAGGCTTGAAAGGATAGTCTTTAAATCCATTTTTTACCTTCGGTGCCATCTACTCAGTGCAGCCAAGTTTACAGCCTTGCAAATGCCATTTCCCATTCATTAAGGCCCAACCAGGCATGAGCTGTACAGCGTCTGATCCAAGAAATTCATATTCTGAAGACTTACTCACTGGTAGCTATTGAGAGCACTTCTGCAGGGCTGTGGGGGCTCCCAGGAGACAAGCATATGCATTCCTCTGTAGTCACATCCCTGCCACCATCCCACACGACCAGGCAGCTCTCAGCAGGCCCAGAAGTCTTTCCACTATGGAGGAAGAGGTGGTATCGTGAAGTTGGCAGCAGAACTGCTCCTCACAGATGCAGGGGATCCTGAAAATACACCCAAACTCTGGTCAATCCTCCCTTAACACATCTACATATCCTTACACAAGCTTCAACAGACACGTCAAGAACCGGGACAGGTAACATACGTGAGCACACAGCATTTAAGTACCAAAGGCCTAGGGAAAAGTCTATTGAACTCCTTCAGGAGGCTCAGGAGGGGACAACTGACAGCTCATTTGTTGCCATAAGTACTTGTTCCTCAGATGCCAGGGCCAGTTGATGCCAGCTAATTAATCTCACGGAAAAAAAGTGAAACCATCTGGCTGCACAGCAACTGCTCTTCCTGCCCGGGCTCAGAAGCCCACATGGCAGATCGTGGAGAGGCCATATCAAACAAGCAAGTATGGCAAGGACATACTCTTTGCTACTGTCATACAGCCCAAGTAACTGCCTGGGAAGCCCAGGCAGCCACACAGCCTGCAGACATTTCCCTGCTTTGCCCAATGTCCTGCTGCATAGGAAGATCCTCCCTCGCTCAGATATGGCAGCAAGGGGCCTCATGCCGTGGTGCCGGAGCCAGGGGTCAGAGCAGGCCCTTTCCAGCACAGCAAGAGCAGGGCTGACAGCACCGAGGTGAACAGGGGCAGCCCAGGTGCCTCCAGCCCACCTACTCATACTGATCCTCGTGTGTGAACTCTGACTTCTCTTCCTCTGCTGATTTCCTGGCATCTTGGGCAGGAGGAAGAGGGAGTTTCCTGCCCTGCAGAGCCACAGTTTGACAGAAGCATCTGCAGCTTTCACAGCCCTGGGATGGCCCTCACGAGTCCTTGGCTTTGCCCCTGCACGGCCAAAGTCACATTCCCAATCCAAGGTGCAGCCCTAGGATTGGGCTCACAAGGATGACAGATAATTACCAGTAATCTGTCCTACTGTGAGCAGGAAAACCAGCAGAGGAAACAAGCCTTTCCCAGCAATGCCCCATCTAAATTGAATCAGCAATAAGTTTTGAGGGATGTTCAGACTGGTGGCCACCAAGGGACCTTCAGAAATGCTACTACTTCCCTTACATTGCTACATATATCCACTATACAAAGGCTTCACATATTGGTCATATAAACAACAGTGAGGGCAGCAGTGAGGCAATCAAACCAATAGTTCACTTCTAACATGGCATTTGGTAAAGGCTTTTCCCTTGCTAACCAAAGCACAGCCTATTACCAAAGTAGGCTTAGTTATTCTTTATAGACTTTTTTCATTACTAATGATGACAAAACCAAAGTGAGGATACTAAGAAGTCAACACATAAAAACTACAAGAATTCCCTGAAGGAACCACAAATCATATTCCATGAAAATCTGGTAGGATAAATAGATCTGCTGCACCACACAGGCAGTCTATGCCAGTTGCCTGGACAACTTCATCTGGTATGGTTTGCAAAAGTCTTCCCCCAAAACAGGTCTTTGTACATGGCTCATGTCACAGCCTGACCAGGAAAGGAGAGGTGAAGAGCCTGCCACCTGCTCCCTCTCATGCCTCCTCCTGTCTGGGGGAGCTGGATTTCCCTTTGGTTTTCACCAAAGGGCAGAGTTAAACTCAGCTCAAGGTAGGTAGAAACAGGCAGAGCTTTATTTCAAGCATGTCTCAGTTGTTCAGTGAGCACTACTTGGCCATTCCTCAGGATCTCTAACCCGTGCAACTGCCCCAGGTTTCCACCGATATCACAGATGTGTCCTGCTTGGCAGGGCCCTGGGCTCAGGAAGTGATGCAGAAGGGACAAGTTCACTCTACTGCACTTCTTGAAGCCTGGGCAGGCAGAAATGAGTTACTGGGGCTGGGAAACCCCAGGAGACTCCAGGGAAATGCACAGAATTGCACAAAGCTGTTAGAAAAGAGCCACAGCTCAGCAACCTGCAGCCAGGCACAGATTATCCTAAATCCCTTGCCTTCAGTGAGCCAGGGACCTCTCCATACCCGTCACCTCCAAGGGAGGGCTCATTTTCAGTACTCAAGCCCCCAGGTGCACTTCCAAGTGCTGCAGCCTTGCAAGGCCTCCAAAGTATTCAGCTGCCCAGGGAAAAGGCTCGATGTGAGAACGTTAAAATAAACCCCCAAAACTACGAGAGCAAAATCATTATCAGGTACACAGCAGTGAGGATGGAGAAGCCTCCTGTTGCTCACAGATACAGACAGAGAGCATTGCCTGTGTGTTGCCTCACAGGCCTGAGTTAGTTCTGGAGCTGACAGGGCAGCAGGATGGAATTTCCTCCTGTTTATTTACATTCTTGAGTCCATTTTGGTACCTCTTCCCCAAGAGCTCCTTTGCTGATCAAGTAAAGTTTCAGTTAATGAGACTATTTTTAGCACCCACTGCTGGGAGAAGCTGAACCGTTTAACAAAGCCTCCTCACCACTGTAACGAGCACATTATTGCTGAGGGGGAGGAAAGAAGAAAGCTGAGGGTGGGCCTGTATCTAGGTCAGCGTCAATCTCTCTTTATCACCTATAGCCTTGTTTTATGGGAAGCATGTGGATAATAAATGGTGATTACGGAAAGTGGAGGGGAAGAGGCAATCCTGAGAAATTTATAGACAGGAGAGAATTCACACTAATAGGAGATAATGCGGAACTGCAAAACTGTTATAAAAAAAGGCATTAGAAAAGCTCTGTAATTGGGGTTATTAAACACAACTACACCAGGTTTTTTTTTCCTTTCTGGGTGCATGTCACTGTGATGGATGTCACTTTCGATAGTGATAATAACAGTAAAATATCCGTGTTAAAGCCAAGTACATTAACTTCTATATTGGTGTAATTTACTGCTTTATGAGTTTCCATCCTTCAGGAGCCAGACAAAATGCTCTTCCTTACGATGTCGATAACCATGCACACATTTTGCAGGAAGAAGTGTTTCTTTAAGTATCTATCATATGTTAAAGAATTCTTTTAACTTTCCATTACTCTTGTCAGGAAAGACAAGGAGCAGGAGGAAGGGGTAAGCTATTCATATTGGTAACATACATCATGAGCTGGATCTGCCATTGCTCTGTCTCATGTGTCTGTCTCATTCACAGCTGCTTTTCTGGCCAAACATATAAAATATTAGTTTGCTACATGAGAAGGGGCAGAATGGACTGGACAGTAGCTACTGTTTTTTAAAAACTACACATATGATATTGAAGGTAACAGTAAGTGTCATTCACTTGCCAACAAAAACAATAAAAACAAAGGATTCTCCTGACTTAAAGTGTGGTTCAATAACAGGAAAGTGGAGGCCCTATCTCCCAAAGTTAAAGCACCTAAGCAGGAACAGCACTGCTTTGAGTTGTAAATAGAACAAGCCAAACCTCAGTTTTTTCTGTCTGTTCCTCATTGCAGAAGATGAACGACTGCTAAAGGAACAACAAACGTGGTTATTCACAGGCTGCAAGTAGAAATCTCAGTGGCATCAACAACACAAGTGCTAGGTCAGGCTTAGGCTCCACAAGGAAGCAGGGAGGAGACTGGCTGATGGCTGAGCCTTTGGCTCCAGCAACAGGAGAGCTACAGTCTGCTCTCACCATGCAGCTCCATGTCCTGGGGCAAGTCACTCCTTTCAGTACTCCTTCCAAAAAGTGAACACCTCTAGCTAAGGACTGTGACTGAGCAGGGACAAGCACAATGAGGCCTTGAGGGACTGCATCAAGAATCCTTCCTGCTTCAAGACAAACTAGCTCTGAGATGGTGTGGAGCTCTAAAGCAAACCAAACTACCCATATCAAGGGTAAAAACACTCTTAGAGAGTCTACTTCAAAACCACACAGAAGAGGGCTTAATACCACCGTGATTTCAAAAATGGAGTGGGCATTTGGGGGCTGAGCTATAGCAAGTTCTAATGTTATTAAAAAAAAAATCACAAAAGAAAATTTTCCTTCTCCCTGCAGTACAGACCATATGTGCAACAATGCAATCACCCACAGGACCTCTTAGCCAAGAGCCCCTGTCTATAAAAGCAATGAGACCTCACAGCTCCTTCCAGCCACAATATTCCTGAGGCCCGAAGGGTTTGCTGGGCTCTGAATGTGAAGATAGTTCTGCTCACACTCAGTTTGGCTCCTGAAATCAATAAGTTCACTTTCAGGATCAGGCACTGAGAAATGCAATCAGCTCCCCCAAGCTGCACTTTCAAATTGCAAATTACAGAATGGTTTCAATGCTAAGGAGGAATTAGATGACTCCGGTTTGTTTCCAAAACAAAACTCTGCAGTGTGGCATTACTGATCATCATCCCACCCAAATGGAATTCAATACTTCATTCAAACCCAAACACTTTTTTTTTTTTCCACATGTGCAGATGATTAATTGAGGATTCAACCATTTATGCCCTACTATGTGCTGGTTTGGGGGTTTTATCTCTTCACAGTAACCATATTTGACTGGAGTGACTCTTACCTACACACACACACACAAAGTTTTAGCTGGTACCTCAGAAGTGAGACAAGGCAAACAGGAGAATTCTCTCCTTACTTCAACTTGGAGCTAGATGAGCTCACACCTACTGAAGACCCTGCCTTGTCTTTCCTTGTTCCTCACTGTGTGAGCCAGATTCTGCTCTTCCCACCTCTGTGCAGTGGGACAGAGCACATTATTGCCGAGGGGGAGGAAAGACTGGACAGTTCCCTCTCTAAAAGCTAGAGAGGTCTCTTTGTATTGGCTTCACTGGTGTTATCCACCCCAGGACCTAACCTGGCAGGTACCAGATACCTGCCACCTCCCTGCCTTCTATTGTTGCTTCCACAATGGTTTGTCTGCTGAGAAAATATTTACTTTGCATTTGAGAAAAGGTCATTGACTGGTGGTGTAAACCACTCTCCCCTGAAACAACAGGAATGGGAGTCAGATTCTGAAACAGAAAATCAGCCTGGATTCTTTTTCCTCCTCCCCTGTTCCCTCCCATATCCCATTCAGAGGGCATGAAAAGGCTCTCAGTGGCTCCAAGTCCAAAGAAAGGAGGACTTATTTCATGTCCCTCATGAAATCTACCTCCATTGATCCCTTGTTCAGCAGGAAGCAGAGCTTGCCCTAGTTAGAGCCAAGGTGGGTAACAAAAGAGAAAGATTCATTTCCTGTGGCACCACAGGGCTGGCAGGAGCAATTCCCTATCCCAGCATTCCTTCTGAGGACAGTCCTCCAAGGGGGCACAAATAAACACATGAACAGGAGCAGGGGCCAGTTGCACTTGACTCTCCTTGCCTTTGAAATACACTTTGTTGGGTGTGCTCCTCACCCCCAGCTGCAGAAGGAGAGACACAAGAGCACATCAGCTGCATCCCAGCGCTGCATCCCAGCAGGGGTTGCAGGACATGAATGACTCTGGCAGCATAACACTGGGTCAGAGGAAGTAGTGCACTTTCCTGCACTCAACACAGTGGTTTGTGTCGATTTCAAGATCACTTTTTACCAGTAACTTGGAGGTTCCTATGTGGTTTATGTACACAAAGAACAGAAGGGCATAAACACTCTGTAATTTCAATGAAAAAAAAAAAATCCCCACTCAGATGAAAGGAACAATAAAGTTAATGAATTATGCAATTACAATCCCGGAGCACACATCTGTCTGTACAAAATACCCCCCAGTATAGCAACGAGAAAACCTCTGTCCTGCAAGTGAAACTGCCTGAGTAACATGAGGCCTAATTTAAAGGTTAATAACAGAACATGAGCCTGGCTGTTGTTTTCAGTAGCCTCTTCAGCACATGAAAATTTTCACTGTTCCTTTCCTTGCATCTCTCCATTCACAGCAGCAACAGCTGTTTAACATGGACCAGTGGTTGGAAAGAGCAAACATATCAGGGAGGAGGGTGACTGAAAGAATATATGCTTGGGGAAAGGATTAGGGAGAGAAAAGGGGAATTTTAACAAGGATGAAGATTGCTGGTATATAGATTCCTATCTGGCTTTGAAAAATTTAGCTCCCATGCTGTAACAGCAGGACTTCAGTGTGTGCAGCTCTTCCTGCCTCAGATCCTAAAGATAAGCTTTCACAAGATGGTTGGTTCAGACCAAGACCTCATTTCGCTTCACTCAGGATCCTGTCCCCTGCTTCTCACAGCACAGCCTCAGACTCTCCCTGGGCCAGCTGCAACATTGATCTAATCCCCTGGGGAACTGCTTCGTCTCAAAAGGACTGCAGCAAAGAGGCTGTCAGGGAAAGACGTACCTGTAGTTTTTGGAAGAGCTTGAGCAAAGCCAATTCACAGACAGGTAGGTGAGTAAACAAGTTGTTTGCTTTCTGAAAGGTAAAGCAGAGTTCTGAAGAAAGCACTAAACTTCTTTCATGCACCTCTGGAATCATCTATCTTCCCTGCTGCTCACCCAGGGTTTTGCACACACCCACTTAAGGAAGGGATACATAGATACCACCAATATGCAGAGGAAAACATCATGCACTTACTTCAAACAAAACCAAAAAGAAGTTGTGGCTGGGCCAGGATTTCCAATAGCTTTGAAACCTTCATGATCACCAGACATGACATTTCAGGCAGGTCATGTTCCCTCTCAGTGCTCATCGATCCCTCTCTCCTTCCAAGAGGTTCCCAGTCATTCCTTTCTATAAGGCACTTCCCAGCACATTGGAGGGACTCCAGCACTGCCTTGCAAGACCCCTTATTTTGTTTGCAGTCCAGTGATGCAGGAGAAGGATGAAGAGGTGGGCTTGCTCCTTGTGCAGTGAGTTTTTCCCCGGGCCTACAAGACAAAAAGAGAGTACAGAGAAAGGACAGACAGGGAAGTTGTCAGAATTAAAATATGAAGGATAAAGAGGTGCCATTACAACAATTTGTTGCAAGGTAGAGCCCCCTTGGAGTTGTCTCTGGGCAATAAGAGCACGTGGGATACAGGAAGGGAAGTACTTGGCCCTTGCTTTGCTTCAGTTCCCTAATCCAGCAGAAATGCATTTGGGGATTTATGGGTTTTGGAAGCTTCCAGCAAAGCTCAGGGCCCGTTCCTTGGGTTATTGTTTTCCCATCTGTTTCTCTTCATTTTATTCCATCACAGAGGCCCCATCGTGGGACACAGGAATGTGACCGGAACAATAGGCAGAACTTGCTGCCTCCAGGACTGCAGTGAGGGCAGAGCCACCATCACAGAATGGGAGCCAGGGGCTTCTATATTTAGCCCTTTCTTGCTTATTCCAGATCAAATTCTCACCACTGACTCAAGAAGTCAGGAGGCTTTTACCAGACCACTGTCCCTGAGCACTGCACATCCAGCAGGGCCCCTGAACATAAAACATTCATTTCCCTTCTAATAAATGCCAACAGGAAGACTTCCTGCTCCCCCCTTCCCTTTCCAAATCCCTATTTTGACAGACTTTTTTTCTTCATATAAGCAAACTAAATAAAACCATCTTCTCCTCTGCAAGGCTGGCGGCCTTGGAGCAGCCCCAGGACTCTGGAGCTTGCACAGCACAGCAGTGCCTGTTGGAGCAGGGCCCTGAGAAGAGGCAGAAATGGGTGATCTCATTTCCCTCGTGTTTGAGCCTGAGCTAAACTCACCAATCCACAGAGACTGGTCCAAGCCCACACCTCAACACCTGATGGCAGGACAAGTGAGGGAGAACCAGGTCTGAGTATCCATCTGGCCTCGATCACTACCACAGCCCCTGCATAAACCTCTCAAACTCAGCTGGTAGAGGACTGCTGAGCAAAAGCTCAGGTCTTGTTGCAAAGCCACTCCATGTCCCGAGGTGCCTCTCTGTCACTTTGAAGGCCTTGCAGGAAGCCAAGCTGACTGTGATGCCATTTAGCACTTACCTCATTTACATCATCCAAGTGAGAGGATCCTGTAAAGAGAGAGGAAAACCCATCATGTTATCACAGACACTTACCTAAGAGCTGTGCTGTTTGAAAATAGCTTGATGATGGACAAGTTCTCTTTCTGCTGCTTCCACAAGGGTTGTAGATTAGGATCACTCTGCACTTTGTTTCTCTACTTCTACCAAAGGCTGCTGGTGTCCCAGGGAGAGGTTTTAGCACACAGGTGGCCTCCTGGGCATCTTGCTGCCATCCATATTACTCCTCCTGTGTACCAGTGTGTTTCCACACTGACTTTTTTCCTGTAGGCATTCTCACCACTGCCAGTTTCCCATTCCTTCTAAAAGCACCCTAAGTGGTTATATCAAGAAGAGAAGGTTGCTGCTGAATGGATTACAAGAACAGAGTTGTTTTTCCCTTTAAGGTATATCTGTCCCTGGAAAATTAGTGGTACCCACCAGTGCCCAAGCACAGACAGAGAAATTACATCTTCTGGTCATATCACAAACCATGCCACTAATTTGCTTTGTAGCCTCAAACTTGTGGCAAGTTAAATTTTCCTCCCTGAGGTGTTTGCTTGTGAGAGCTGCTCTGAAACAGAGATGTCTGAGGAGTGTTTGAAGAGGCCTAGACAAAACCAGCATAGCTGGGAGGCCGAGCAGACTGTCTTCTGCACCTCAGGATCTACAGAACACCTTTGCACTGCCAGCACTGGCACATCAACTGCATTCATCTGCCACACAAATCCCTTCTCCTTTACTTCTTTTGTGTCCTGGAGCCTGGCTTCTCTCCACTCCCGTGGAGGAGGCAGTGCCCAGTCCTCTTGAACAACTAACACTTGCCAGCAAGGTGTAAATGAGCCCTGTGTGTCCAGTCAGGCTGAAAGGAAGAGAACACTTTCCATCTGGCATTCCTGCAGGTCTTGAGATGGCAGTTACTTATCCAAGGTAGAGGAGAGAAGGGAACTGGAGTTTCCAATGGAAGAAGCTGACAGAGAAGCAACAGCAGCAGTCAGGGCCTTGCTTGGCCCAAAAAAGCGCTGAACAAAAAAAAAACAAACCAAAAAACCCAAAAAACATTGCTACATTTTACAGCCAAAAGTTTTCCTTACATCTTCCCCTTCACTCCCAGATGTACCTCCCTGGAACACATGGAATGAAGCTCAGACCCTTTGAAAGCTTTAGCTTTTAGCCACAAAGACTGTGAGTTTTTACCACCCCAAAGCCCGGGCTGTGCTCAGGCCACAAGAGCAAGATGCTGCCATGGAGAGAACTGATCCATCCAAGGAGAGATGGGGGAAGACCTGAGGCACATACAGGTAACAGTGAGTTTCCTGAAGGTCATAAAGCAGGAATGACTGCTTTAGGGAATGACTGCATTAGGGTATGACTGAAAAATGACCTGAAGCCTTGATAAATGCTACAGTACAAGGATGCTTTTTCAGAGTACTAAACATTGCACTTACACTACCTTTTCAGAGCAGGGACCATGCACAACCCATCAACTGGATCCAGACTATTTCTGCATGCTTCCTTCCCTGTGTTTCCTTAGATTTACAACAGGCCCTCACCACTCCCATACCACCCTCAGCTCACCTCGGAATACTTCCTTCTCTCCTCATCCAGTCTTCCTCCCATCCATTTAGAAGAAAAAAGGAGTAAAAAAGTTGTTCTCCTGGAAGTCAGATCTAGTTTATCTCCCTGCAGATTCAAGTATAAACATCCTTTCAGGGAGCCATATAAAAATCATGATCCTTTCTGGGCCCCAAGGGGAGGGTCTGGGTCCTCATCCCTGCTCGTCCACCACTCAGCCACCCCAAGGAAATCACTTATTTCTCACAAGTGCAGCTGGGCAGCAAGGCCCAGTGGCACAGCCGCTTTCCAACTGGGTGCATGGTGCAAGATGATAAAGATGAGGATGCAGCAGGAAAGGAGGTGGTAGCAGGTTTAACAGAATAACAAGCAGATGTATAAAACCAGAAGCTTCAACTGAGTAAGGATTATAATTGTACAGATAAGTGCCATCAATGCATATGCACAAACATTTGCGGTCAACAGAGCAATTCCATCCCCAGCTGAATGATCCACTGGGTACACACGTTCAAACGTGCACAACACTGCTCTGCTCAACTAAAAATCCTTTCCCATAAAGCCACACAGACTCCCTTGGGCAGAGGCCAAGCAGTTAAATAAAAAAAGTCTATCCAGAGTGAGAACTCTTCAGAGACATTTCACCATCTGGAAAGAGGAGGGGGTCTTACCCTGAGAACGCTTGGAGAGCCCGACCTACTGCGGTTAAATGCGTGCCTCATCCAAAGCTAAATCCTGGGGAAGAGCATCACATCATTCCCACTGCCTTATGCAGCAGGACCTGCAGTGAGAAAATGGGCCTAATTCTGCTCCTCTATCCAGACAAGAGCATACAGCCAGAGCCCAAGACGGGATGGCAGCTGGCCATTCAGTATTTGCTTTTTAGTGAGGCCAGACTCATAGTGTTGCTGGTTACAAACAAAAGCCATTGCTGTCAGTGTGGGCTTCTTCATTTCCTTTTATTATATCCCCACCCGTGGCATGTAAATAAAGCTGCAGTCAGCTTCCTCCAGAGTACTGGGGCAGTGAAGATTGTACAGAGCATCAGGAGGGAGCACAGCCACAGTCAAGGCTGAGGGCGCTACCTCCTTCCACCATTCCCTGAAGACACCAGGCACTCCCAACAAACAGAAACAAGCACTTAAAGCAAAAAAAGATCACAGGCCCCTGCTCTCAACAGGCCTTTGATATGTTAGCTGGCCTAGGACAGCAGTGGTCAGAAGAAATTAAGTAGGACATAGGACTTGGCTCCCTTCACAGACCTGCCCCAGGAGGCTGTATCCTGGTAAAGAGTAGCATTTTACATGGCCATATAAACTCTCTGTATTTCACAGTCACATGAAATCTGTATCCTGGTGGGCTTCCAAGAGCTCAGCTAGGCAGAGGCACCACCCATATGGATGCAATTGCAAGCGAGTGACCTTGGAGAGATATGGCCCAGGAGAAATTAGCACATTCAGTGGGAGCTCTCATCCTATTTCCTTTCTGCCAAGGGACACAGGCAACAGGGAAGAGCACAGAAATTCTTGTTTGGCAGAACTCAACCTGTATCAGAGCTCTGATCCCTACTGTTTCACTCAAGACTGGCCCAAGTAAGTCTTGGAACCCCCATCCTTCTCTTACAGTGGCAAACCAGAAAGAAAAACACCTTTCTAGATGTGAGAGAAGAGGCTAAACCTCACTGCCTCAAAGCCCATCATCACTCAGTGTCCCTTAAGAAGAGCCCCAGAGGCAGCACAGCCTTAAGAGGCATCAACCCAGTGGAAAATCCCAGGGACAGAGGAAGAGGAAGGGCAACAGGGCACAGCTCTCATCCCTGCAGGACAGCATACAGCTAGACACAGGCAGCGAATGCACCAAGCATTATTCAGCACGAACAAAAAAAGCTCTTTCCAGCCTCTGCCTCACAGCTGCTCATCTGTATTCCAAGCCTTTGACCCCAACAACCCTTCTGGCTGAGAGAGATGGGGGACATCATTTCACCTGCTCCCTCCCATCACTCTCCTGTTCCAACATCCTCAGCCCACCCGCCCCCACTTGCTCTGAAGTTGATTGCCTCCTTCACAGGGTCACCTCCGTGCAAAAGACAAACCTCCTGTCTGGACATCGAGTTCCCTGGATGTTATCTGACCAGGATGGGGAAGGAGGGGGAAAAAGGTCTTCCTCCAGAACACAGAGATGGAATTGGTTGAAACAGCTCCAATCAATTGGGCTCAGTATCTGAGATGGTATTTTGATTCCAGTCCTACAGCAAGAGACAGCACAAGGCCAGGCGAGGGCAGATTACATGATCTCTCAAAGCTGCCTTTCACTGCAGCACAACATGTCCTCTGTGCTGCTAGAGGGCTTTCTTGGGCTGAATGAAATAACACTCTACAGCTCTTGATTCCTACCTCAGGGCAGCAACAGCATCTCTCCTGCCCATCTTTCTCCAGGGAGGAGATTAAATATCAGAGATGAATCAAAATGCAGTCAATCAGGCCAGGCAATCTGCCAAAGCAGGAAAAAGGAAGGGAGGGGGCAGAGAAGGTACCTCGGTACTGCAGTGACCTGTTTAAATGCTGGTGTTGAATGCTGAGCTGCCGGATCTCTCCAAGGCTCCAAGAGACAGGAAGAGAACACAGAAGTGGGAACCTTCCTCCTACCCTGGAGGATGGGGACGAGCCCACATCACTTCTCAGTCATCAGCTACACTTGTGGAAATGGGCAGACAACTGGGAGAGCTGAAGAGACAGGGCAAGGCTAATCCAGCCTGATGCAGGAAACTGAGATCTGGTAATGATCTAGAGAGGAGAATGAGATTCAAACACGTGCACTATTTCAGTAAAATGCACCCCTCTCAGTCCAAGAGATTACACAACTCCAAGGGGCTCTGGGAAGTACGAGCCCACAAGACCCTCTCAGAGCAGAGGTGCAAAGATTAGGCCTCCAGACCCTCCCAGGCCTTGACAGGTGTCTCCACACAGGGCATTTCTACTTTCCAGCAGCAGTAATGTTGCTGGAGCCAGATTCTTTGGCCACAAAAGCACAAGCTGCTGGGGTTGGAAGCAAGAAAGGTTGCTTTAGTGCCTGTCTGTATTTTAGCCACGTTAGGCCAAAGACAGCCGGAGTATGGGAACAACTCACATTGTGCTACCACATCAGAGTCCTGCTCTGAACCAGAGCTCTGCTGGGCTACAGTGCTTTGCACAGACACACAGAGAAGGCTTTCCTCTTCCAACAATGCATCTGCCTGCACTGGGCATCTGGGTTACCTGCAAGCCACAGCATCCATGTTGCAGGGAGAAACTGCCAACACTCAAAGGGCAGGCTGAATTCAGAAAGTGCTGCAAAATATTGTCAAGAGGGCCTGAAACCCAAGCCACCACCTCAGAAACCCTGTGCCAGGGTGAGAGGCTGGGGAGCACAAGTCACAGTTCTCAGAAACAGGTTGTTCAAACACATCTTCATACGAAGCAGCAGCAGGTAAACCACAGCAGGAGGGGAGATGGGAAGGCAAAGCAGAGAAACACCAGAAACTACAACGGAAGGATAGAAAACCACACCAAGAACTGGAGAAGCAATCTGTGGTCTCAAAGACGTACATGCACTCACACACAGGCGCAGTTTCTTGGACTGTTTATCAAGCTCAGGAAGGAAGAGGGATCAGTCTGCCAGAAAGATCAGAGATGCTGGCGCTGTCATATGATGCTCCCTCTAAGAAACAAAACCCACAGAGTGTGCATACACAGACAGAGAGGAAGCTACAAGGAAAGCCTTGAAAACAGAGGAGGAAACCCTAACCCCACCCCAGAGGTCCTACCTTT